ACACACACACACACACACACACACACACACACGCACGCACGCGCACACACACACAGTAAATACCACAGTTGTGTAATAAAACCTGTAAAACCTCTTCCTGTTTTCGTTCATCATCTTTTCTTTAATCTCTAGTCTCTGATTTCATGTTGCTCCTCTGAACTCTGAAAATATTGTGAGTCTATTTCAAACATTTTTGGAGTTTGACCAAACATTCAGGCGTCTGCATTTCTTTTCAAATCTGTTTTCAGTTTCTAATTTACAAGTTAATTTTTGTTTCAGTGTTTTTTCCTGTTGCAAGTTATTCCGAATGTAACCTTTACTTCGAAATTTCGAGAAGTTTGACCAAATATTCAGGGTTTCACGTATATTTTCGAGTCTATTTTCAATGTTCAAGGGACTTTACTGAAAAACTTTGATGGGATTTCATCAACTTTGGGGTTTTAACCAACGTTTTGTATCAGTTCACACACTCATGCATTTCTGAAACTGTAAATCTGATCCAGAATCCATTGATATTGAATAGTTCCATCTGTTTCGATGGTTAAACCTTGTAAAGAACTTTTAAAGCAGCTAAAATAAGCTTGTGTATAAAAAGAAAAAACATCTCACTCGTTTGATTTTACCCAGGTGGCGGTGGAGCGAGAGACGGCCGGCAGCGTTTCCCTCTTCTCCACCCTGGTGTTGGCCATCGAGCGCTCGCAGGCAGAGCTGATGGAGGTGATGGAGATGAGCCGGAGGGCGGCTGAGCACCAGGCCGACGCCATGATAAGACAACTGGAGCTGGAGGTCCAGGAGCTGCGGAGGAGAGAGAGCGCCCTCGCCAAGCTCGCCCAGTCAGACGACCACAACCACTGCGTCAAGGTCGGTGAGAATCTTAACTTTTGAATCCGATGATAAACAGATAAAAACCTGAGGAACCGCCGGGAGATGATCTGAGTTGTTACTTATTTCCACCTGCTTCCTCAGACGTTCAACGGTCTCTCCAGTCCCCCTCCCACCAAAGACTGGTCCGGAGTGTCGGTGACCTCTGACCTGGGGACAGGGACCGTCTACAGGTCGCTGGTCACTCTGGTGGAAAAGTTCCAGGTTGAGCTGAGGAACGTCGCAGAAAAAGGTCAGTGAGTGAAACACAGGGACGGATTCCAACCAGAGATCTGAGGTAATGAACCTCAGGTTTTAATCTAAAGCAGTAAATGTGTAGAAACCTTTAACTCAAGCACTGAACTTTACTTTGAAAGGTTCTATACAAGATGATTGATTGAAAAAGTACTTAACGTCAAAGTATTTATATTTTTCATCCTGGACTTTAAACAGTTTTGATTCGATCACTTCTTCTCGCTCCTCTCCAGGTTTTCCCGCCGTAGTGCTGGAGCCCAGTCCAGTCCGAACGCAGCCACGTGAGTGTCATGAAATCTCCAGGATATCTGTCACCCATCACTGATACACACTATATCCCACCTTAAACTGATTATACACACCTGACTCTAATTCCACCTTAAATCAATTAATGCTGTTAATCTACGGACGTTATCTTCAGATCGTTTTTACTAACGTTTGAAACGTTGTCTGCAGGAATGAAGAGGGTTCAGGAGTACGCAGGTGAGTTACATTCTCACAAACTGAACTCACTCACGTCACAGTGACAGAACTTTTTTTTTTAAACTTCTCACATTTCTCTTCAACACAGTGGACGTAACTCTGGACTGCAGCACGGCGCACCCACGCCTGATTCTGACGGACGACATGAAGAGTGTGAGACGCCCGTTAGATCTTTACAACACGTGATAATTAACCACACGGAGTTGACTTTGGTTGAGTTTGAAACTTGTGAGCTTGATTTCAAGGAAGATATTTAACTGAGATAATCCTCGGATCCGTCCGTTTGATCTGCTGCGTCATCGTGTGTGTCGCTTCCTACGAAAGTGAGGTTTTGACCAAGTCGTCGCTCTGCAGGTGCGGTGTGGAGACCGACACCAGCCGCTCCCTGACAACCCGGAGAGGTTCGACAGAGTCGTCTGCATCCTGGGGAGCGAGGCCATTTCCTCCGGGAGACACTACTGGGAGGTGAGATCAGCTCCACCTCCAAGTATGAGTTAGTAAACACAGAGAATCACCTGGTTTTTTACCGCAAAAATAAAAGCAGGAATATCTGGTTTATGAATTATTGTGCAGGTAAAAAAAATGTGTTTCCAAGCCTCTGCTCTGGTGACACCTAGTGGCCGGAGGAATCATGTTCTCGGGTTGTCTGTCCACACCATTTCATTTGAACACGATATCTTGTGGACGCCTTCGAGGAATTTATTTAAATTTGGTACAAATGTTCATCTACACTCACAGAGGAACTGGTTAGATCTGGGTGGTCAAAGGTCAAAGGTCACAGTGGTCTCACTTCTCTTGAACAGGAATTTCAAATCCGCCTAAATGACATGTTTGATGATGTAAATGTAAATATGATGCGAGCAGGTGGAGGTGGGCGGGAAGACGGACTGGGATCTGGGCGTGGCCAGACAATCCATCAACAGGAAGGGGAAGATCGACGTGACCCCGGTGAACGGATACTGGTTCCTCAGCCTCAGGAACAAGTGAGTCTCCATCGGCCGCTGATCATTTACCCGAGAACACACCGGAGGGCGAAGGATGAGACACGTGGTGGAATATTTACTCACAGTTCGGTTTGTCGTACACGAGTCGTGAGTCCAGAAACACTAGAGAAGGTCACACATGAAGAAGAAGAACACGTGCACGAGGAAAACAAGGCTGGGGCTGACTGGAGGGGTTTACTGGAGGGAAATGCAGGGGCAGGAAGCTGATCAGGTCACAGGTGTGCTGTTGTAAAAAAAGACAGGAAGTGTTAGAACTGACAAAATAAAACAGGAAATGGAGTGATGTTGAAAACAATGTAAATCGTTTAAACATTATTGTAATTTACAGAACATAGGATTAAATATGGTTTTGGAAATACACTGATTTCCTTTTTCTTTACTTTCTCTCCACAGGAACAAATACGCCTTTCGCACTGAACCCTCCACGGACGTCTGCCTGACCCTCAGGCCTCATAAGATCGGCGTGTTCGTGGACTTTGAGAAAGGACAGGTGCATTATGGGAAAATGTTTCTGTAAAACTTATCATAACAGTAGTTTCTGCTCAAACTCAACATGAACATCCTCTCTCTCTCTCTCTCTCTCTCTTTCTCCGTGCAGGTGTCGTTCTACAACGTTGATGCTAAAATCCACATCTACACCTTCAGTGACCATTTCACCGAATGCATCCTCCCGTTCTTCAGCCCCTGCACCAATAAATCGGGGAAGAACGACGGGCCGCTGGTCATCACACCAGTAAACGCCACAGAGTGACAGAAAATACACTGCAGGTTATATCCGCGGTTCATTTTCACGACACGTGCACTTAGGTAACATTTACATTCTGGCAGATGTTGTTGGTTGACTGTGAATTCTGGTTTAACATCTGGATGTAATTTTAAATGATTCACTGATTTTTTTTAAATTCCGTGGATAGTTTGTTGGGACGTCTCTTACGTGTCCAGATTTAAATATTAAAAGCCAGTTCAGCTTAGCTCAGCATAAAGACTGTGACATGTCTCCATACATAAACACAAACTGTAGTGTATACTGTATATATAATGCTTTAGCAAGTTATATAACTTTTTCCAGGAAGGTTTTATAAAGTCAGATTTGGAAGAATGAAGAACAACACCCGACACCACAGTCGACTCAATGAGGAGAGATTAAAAAACTTTTTCTTTTAACAAACTTATAAAAGTGTATTTCTGTGTAAAACGTGTTGCAGTGCAAACTTTATATTCCTACCAGATCTCTCTGCTTTAGTTCAGTAGGTTGAACACCAGGGGGCAGATATGTCTGCAGAGAAACACATGAATGTTTCCTGCAGCTTCTCAAACACACGAGTTTCATTTCTTCTTTTGATTCTTCAGAATGAAGCCAAATCAATTATAATTTCTCCAACTGTTATTAATCTACACTCTTTATTCACTGAGGCAGAAATTAACAAACACTCGCTAAATTTACTCTCATGTCGTTCTTACTGTACTTTATACTTCTACTCCACTACATTTCAGCTGGAAATATTCACTATATTTAAATAAATCTAACAGTAATAAGATTTTACACAAAAAAACAAGTTTATAGAATTTAATATTCGTAATAAAGAAACCCAAGAGGTAAAATGACCAAATGTAAATTATAGAATATTCTTCACAAGCCCGTTTGATCTGCCTCGACCTACTGCAATAATTAAAAACACCAGGATGAACAATCTAATAATGTGAATTTTATAATTATCTTTTTTTTCAGATGATACTTGTGTATTTTTACTCAAATGGTAATTTGAACACAGGACTCTTTACTAGTAAACGATATTGTACAAGTTCTTTTTCTTTCAGTAAATGATCTGAGCACTTCTTCCTCCATCACTTTATAAACGAGGACTGTGAATAATAAAATGATATGAATAAAAAATCTTTCTAAATCAGCTTCTCTTCCTGTGTTTAACATCGATGTGTGAAATATTTTAAAATCCACTTCACGGCTGTATTTTAATTTCACTTTCATTAGAAATTTCATTTGTGATCATGAGATTTGTTAATCATCATTATTTAACTTTCTGATTTTTAAATGTATTTCTTTTCATTTAGTTTCTGTGTCGCTCCTTATTTGTCCCCAGAGGCCAAAGGAACTAAACAACTGATTAAATACTGGTGGCCTACTTTAAATCCAATGACGTGTTCAAAATATTTGCACTCCGGCCACGACTTCGTCACATCTCAGTTCACCGTGTCTGGATGAACCTGTTTTTATGGCTCGGGGTCAAAGATTCAACTCGAAACGTCAAGAAAGAAATCAAATCAATCAAACTAATGTAGTGGGGTGACTCTGGAGTTTTTGGGGCCCTCGGGTCTCTTCCTGCTCAACCACTTTCACAGGGAATGCAAAGAACTCAGTCCCACGAGATGTTTGATCACAAGTTTGATGTCAAAGCGAGAAGCTGTGGGATGAGGGACAGAGCTGCAAATGCTCTTGTTCAGTTAAGATTTAAAATCCCTGACACAGTTAAAGAACTTTTAAAATAAGCACATTAGAACACAACACAGACTCCACCTCTTACATTTGTCCTTAAAGAGTAAGTCCTTAAATCTCATGCAGTTTATTTAGGTGGTTGATTTCACTATCGGGTCCTCTGAGACTCCGAAGACGACAGGAATAGCTAAAAAGTTCACTAAGTTACCAAATATGAAGCTTCAGCCAAGAGACGTTTCAAATGAATTAAATGCATCGACTGACATCTCGAAAGCTTCACTGGGTTTTATTATATTTGTTTAAGCTTCATACAAACACTGATGTAAAGACAACGCCCAGAGCGGTTTCTTGGCAGGGCCGCTGAGTTCCTGATGTCACAATGGTCACACCAGGATTCAGCTCGAGCAGATAACGCCCTGCAACACAACAACTTGTCGTTTTAAACATCTCTGATTAAACAGATTAAACAAAGAGACGCTGTCTCTCGGCTCCAGGCGAGAAAGCCACAAGGCACCAAGAACCAAAACGTCAAACTACGCCCGAGGTTCTGTTCTGAATTAAAAACACACGACAGAGACTTTGAATCCTTTTTCATTTTTCAACCTCACTGAAAATTATGCACAAAAAGGAAAAATGACCAAAAAGGTCATTAAATGAAAAAAGAGCGAAATAACAATCATCAGAGCAGCTTGTGAGCAGATTAAATCTTATTGAAAAGTATCATTAACACATACAGGTACTTACATTTCCTTATAAATTAAAAAAACATATTATTTCTCTGACTGGATAAAAGTGCAAAATGCTGGCTAGCTCCAGTTAGCTTAGAGCCTGGTCACAAAACCAAAGGTGTTACATGTGAAGTCGACGGAGCCTCGTTAGCGTCGTTGTTGGAGAAACAAGCACACACTGAGATTCTGCGTCCACCTTAAAGCATTGGAAAATACTCCCGGACGATTCAGCCGCAAATAAACAATATCCTATTTCTATTTCTTATTTTGAATTTTTTTAAAAACTCCTATTCCTTATGTAAAAACAAACTAAGCCCCAAGATTCACGCTGAGCTAATCCTAGTAGCCTATTGGCTAACAGCCCTCAGCTCCCCCGGACTTATAAATACACATTTTTAAACGGGACGAAGGATTTTAGTTCTTGAAATGCTTCCCCTCATATTTAGAGTACCAACGTATTTTAAAATACTTAAAGGCTGTATCTCTAATAAGATACTGAGGAAGGAATTTGAGTTTCGGGTAAATCCACATTTTAAAAAAGTCTTACTTTCTGTTTTACACTTGTTCACAACTAACAAACCTAAACTTCATTGATGCTAAGTGTTGTTGTGTTTTCAGTCGAGTGTTTTAGATTTTGGTTTTGTGGTGTTCACATCCGAGTTCGGAATCTCAGGCTCCGGGTGCAATATTCACAGTTTTACTTAAATTCCTTATTTTTCTGATAATTCCTTTGGACCGTGAAGCACTGAAGAGCAGGACAGCTTCTACTGAGACTTGACTTGAATGTTTTTATGAATTCTCTCACCTAAAATTAGATCCTTTCTGTAAAACATCTTAATACTTATCATGCATATACAAACTGTTTCATTACTTTTATGTGCATCAGCTGCACTGACTCTAAAACCTTTCAATATGAAGTGATTTTAAATTTCTCATTTGTTGCCGCAGTCGATTCGATCCTGCTTCATCTGAGACTTTGCTTTTTCTCTCTGAAGGAGAATGTGTTCGGCAAACTCCCGGACGGCTCCCATCCCCCCCAACGCGTGGCAGGTGTACTTTGCGGCATTGATGGCCACCGTTGGGGCATTTTCAGGTACTGCACTCAAACCCGCCAGGTTCAGACAGTTGACATCTGCTTTGTCGTTGCCTGAGGAGAGAAGAAAAAGGTGAGATGATAAGGGAGGAAGCTAGGCCCGTTTACATAAACATCAAATAATAACACAGGTGTTCCACAAGGCTCTGTGCTGGGGCCCTCGTCTATTTGCTCTACACACACCTCCTCCTTCCTCGGGTCAGATTATCTGCTCACGTGGATTCTCTCATCAGTATTATCCAGATGATAACCAAGTGTCATTCCTTCTAAATGACTCCATGTCCTCGAGACGGACCTGGACTTCCTTAACAACACCTCTTTGTTGGTTTGTGTTTGTTAGCTAGTTGGTTGGTTGTTTGTCAGAAGGATCCCGTGAAAAAACTACTGAACGGAGTTGAAAATATTTTTAAAAATGGGCCAAGGAAGAACCCATTAAATGTATGTGTCGATCCAGGAATCTCTCTTTAACACGTTGAGATGGAAGTCAATAGAAAACCACGTGTGCTTTACCCATGTACGCCACGTCCTTCCACTCCAGCTTCCTCTGCTCCACGATCGCTTTCAAATCATTCAGCGGCTCCTCCCCCACCAGGATGACTTTGCAGCCTGTCCTCTCGGACAATTGGTCGACCAACTTCTGGGTCACGGGGTCCTCGGTGGACATCAACAGCACCACCTGGAGGAGACAGAGCTTAACACGAGCGATACGGGGCGATCGGAGGTGCCAACAGAACCACAGTGGGTAACTTTGGTGGAGTACAGTGTTTCTAATGTTAAAATCCTAACCTCCACTTCCTCCTTCTGCAGCATCCGGACGCCCACAGTGTCTCTGGTATTAATAGAAACCATCTCCTCTCCGGAGACAGACAGAAAGATCCGTCCTTCTGTTAAACATCCGGAAACGTTGCAGAACATCAGCCGAACCACCTCCGGCGTGACCCGCCCAAAGTAACCATACCTGTGAGGAAATGGACACCAGACAAAGAGCCTCAATAAGACACCAGCCAAAGGAACGGATCATCACTTGGTTTAGATCCAGCAGACGCGTACGTACTTTGATTACCAGTAGAAAATAATAAACGTCATGATATATTTAAATACGATTAAACCACCTGACCCCAGCTGATCATTTCTATGCATCCCACCTGAGAACTCGCTGTTCTGCCACAGGCCAGTCGATGTCCACGTCTATGTCCACGCTGTACTCTGGTAGCATCTCATAATAACCGACCTTACCACCCTGCAGACACAAATTTAAAAAAAAAAGAGGCTGAACACCTAAACTAGAAGAAAGTTTTTCAAATCACGACATCGGGAGAACTCAAAAGGATCCTGAAGCATAAAAATCCTGAAGAAGAAAACCCAGTGTGGCCCAGTTACCTGGAGAAGTCCCTCCTTCAAAATGTCTCTCGTGGTGAAATACAAGGACCCATTCTCACACAGCTCTCCGTTCCAGTCCTGACGTCGTGGCCGGTTGGTTGGGTCCAGGTTGAGCGGCTTTGTCAACTCACCAGCTGCAGAGAAGCAGCGCGAGGGTTAATAAGCACTTTTCACAATGCACAGCTTTACCAAGCCTCTGTTGACTTACATCCTTTCTTGACCTCCTGCCAGCGGAACTGGTGTCTCCTGACCACGGAGAAGACAGAGTCGTAGCCCTGCAGCGTGATCATCTCCACGGCCTCCTTCACATGAAACGGATGAAGACACGGGGACGTGGCCTGAATGTTGCATATCACGTCCACCTCTGTGAAATCAAGTCATCAAAAAAAAAAAAAAAGCTCTGAGTCTCACAGCTGCTTTGTCTCCGCTCTCTCTGTGCTCAGACGACGCGCAGTTGCTAATTAAACAGATGCACAGCGAGTGGAGTTACGACCTGAACAGCTGTTGCTGCTTTGACACTAAAGAATGCACAACGTGGACTTCTCCAAAGTTTACCTGGGTTGAGCCTCACAAACTCTTGAATGGTTTCCAGTGAAGTCGAAGAGTCTCTGGAAACTTCAGGACTCCTGCGATGAACCTTCGCACCCCAGGATTTTGCCACTTTCTCAATCTCGTCATGGTCCGTCGATACCCACACACTGCGAAGATGAAAACATCTTTTATTGGCCGTATATTAATAAGTAACATTATATTAAGTAATGTATTCACTTTGTTTGGTACTGCTTTCCCATGTACGATGACAATACACACTTTCTTTCATTCTATTTTGGAGGCAGACGCCAACACGACTCATGACAAAGTATAACTGAGGTTTTAAATTTTACAGTTCAACCGTAAACTTTATTATAAATGACCAAAAGAAAACACAAACAATTATATAGAACTTTAATTAGGAAAAGGACATTTTTAGCAGAAAAACAAACATAAATGTGCATCGTTATATGATTTTTTTATAACACAATACCACTTTTTTTTTTTATCTCATAAAAGTTTTGGTCCCATTGCCCAGCTCTAGAAAAAATCAACTTTGAGGGCTGCACTTAACGATCATAATAATTTAACAGCTCAGCTCTGAAGGTGAATTTCTTAATTTCTTTTTTAACCAAGATTCTAAAAACACAAACAAATAAACACATTTGCAGACATTTTTAAAAAAAAAGAGAGAAAAGGTTTAAACTCCTGACTTTTATTTCTCCTTCTTATTTGAACTGATTTTCATGCACTTTGTGGAATCATCTCCAGGAGAAAACTGCAGTTGTATTTGAATAAACCTCATGAAGTAGTTTTTTTTTTGAAACACGAGGAAGTACACGTTAAAACATTTAATAAATATAAACACACCATGAGATGCAGTTTTGATGGGGTCCGGAGCAGATGTGTGGTTTTAGACTTTGGTGTTAAACAGGTTTTTAATGAGGTCGATGATAACTGTACCTGTGGAACATGTCGGAGTCTGCGGCGGCTCTCAGGGCCCAGCTGATGAGGGGGACCCCGGCCAGCGTCTTGATGTTCTTCAGGTGGATCCCTTTGCTTCCGCCTCTCGCCAGGATCAACGCGGCGACGTGTCTCTCTCCGCTGCCCCGGATCTGCTGCTTGCGGGCGGGCAGCGGGGCGTCCTGCGCTCCGTTAGCGGAGGGCAGGCATCTCTTCCTGGCGGCCATGACGGCTGTAACGGTTCAGAGGCTCCGGAAGAGCACAGGCTGCGGAGGGAGGCTCCTCCCGTGGGGGAGGGAGGGAGAGAGAGGCGCGTCCCAGTCACTGCTGCGGTCACATGGCCATGCGTCGCACACACTTCCGGGTCTGATCCTGCGTCTCCGCCTGTCCGAGGCTGGACCGAGCTCACTACCGCCACCTGCTGCCCCGGAGGTCAAACACATGAACACACAGATAGATTTAAAAATAAATAAACACACAAAACAAGTGGATGCATGAATGAATAACACAATAGTAGATGTTTTATATTTATACCTGTTCTCCTTAAACCTTAGACTTGTTTTTTTAGGTCTGTGTTGATGGGGAGACCGAGAGTCTGAGAAATTTCGATTCCTCGATGTGTCTGTGTATGTTTTGCAGAAATTGACAATAAAGCTGACTTTGACTTTAAACACATAAATAAACAAATAGATTAAAAAAATAAATAAATAAACAAACAAAACAAATGAATGCATAAATTAATAAACACGTAGATAAACAAATAGATGAATAAATATGTTTTAGGCTCTGACTTGACGCATGTGAAGAAGAACTGCTGGATTTTATCGATGCCTTAGAATTATTAGAAGCCCCTTTACTATTTTATTTCATTCTATTTTGTTTTCAGTCTCATTTCATTGATCTTTTCGTCTGTCGTCACGTTCAGTTTTATCTCCTCTTCACCATAATGGTGACTTTAAATCTGGAGGTGGGATATGTGCAGCATTGATCTGCTCTGATTAAACAAAACAGAAAATAAAATACAGCAAAAACATGATAAGTCAAAAAACGTCCTAATCAATGTTTAATTTGCTGCATCTTCTTTCCTTTAGCTGGTAAACAGCGCCACCTTCTGGATGTTAACACAATCTGAGCTGGGGTTCTTTTCAATGTTTAACGATGGAGGAGATTTTTCTGGACGAGAATTTCATGTCAGTGTTTCTGCTGCCCCCAGGTGGCCAAAACCAGTTAAGGTAGCTTTAACTGCTGTGACTGACTCAACATGACTGAAAACTAACTCCTGGAATTTAGATTGTAGAGTCTGACTGACGTGCTCGGACATTTCCTTCTCATCGACACCGTGTTTATCTTCAGTTCGTTCGTCCTCATCATTCCTCTGTCACGTTGCTCTTTACGTCCTTTAAACTCTTTCTTTTATTTCTGCTCCCTCTGCTTTCGTTTCTTCACTTGACAAACACATCACCTCTCACAAATTTAACCATCACACACAGGTATGTTACCTGACTGGTGCTCCCACCCAGTGCTGGGAAAACAAACGCTATGAACTCAGCGACGCACACAGAAGCAGCTAAAGTCAAAATAACAGGAATAAGTAGGTCAGGTAGAATATCTCCACTCCTGTTCGAGTCAAATGAGATTTAAATCACTTGAGGTCGTGGCTAACGTCTACAAAGTTCCCAACCAAATACTGACTTCTGTTTCACTCGTAACTTATTCCGATCTTTGCTGTTTACGACAGGACACTTATGAAAATAAAATCGTGATGTAACTCTGATGACTTTGTGTTTATTGTTATTTGTGGCTGCTTCCATTTCCTTTATTTAACATCACCCATCCCAGTGCCGCATGGTCAAACAAGCAGGGTGATGTTTTGGCCTATCTGTGCGTGTATGTGTGCAAAGTATCTCAACAATGCACGAGTCCATTTTCACCAAACTTGGAATGAATATTCCTCGGCTGATCGTCTCCAGATCATTACATTTTAGAGTTGATCGGTCAAAGGTCAAAGGTCAAGATCAACAAAAATATGGTCAGAAAAACAAATTTTCATGAACAAGTCCGAAAATTACATCATGCATAGTTCAAACACTTTGTTGTAGGAACGTCTGCATCCTATAGGACGATATGACCCAACGTTATTTATCACACATGGTGCCTGAAGTATCATTAGAGTCTACATATGCAGCCAGCCACCAGGGGGCAATTGAGATGATTTGGGTTCAGTTTTTGGGAGCAGTCATGTCGTCCATCTTTAGACTATGAGTGATATTTTTGTCCTTCATGTCAGACATCTATAAAGATAGTAACTCTACTCCTCATTTACATATCAGGTCCTTCAGGTCCCAGGACACCTCGGTGTATCATCACTTGAACAAAGACGATAAAACAGAAGAAAGGAATGTGTGTTCCTCTAAATACGGAAACACGGAGGACAGAGACACAGGAATAACAGTCGTGTGGAGGAGAGCGGCGACGAGATGAGGTTGTCGATCAGGTTGAACAGGTTGTAAAGTTCCCGCTCCTGATCCTGTTGCCTCTCCTCGCTGTCTCCCTCGGCAGCTTCACGGCTGCAGACGAACAGTGAGAAAGAAAATGACCCTACGAGAGCGTTTCTGACACCTCGATGGAAAATGCCACAAGGTCAAGGATTTGAGGAATAACTTTATTTACAGAGAACTTTTTTAGCAACATGCTGCACAACATGAAAACAAATGGTTAAACTACAGTACACGCAGTACAAGTACACAAATAATAACTTTCAGGAATATTCCTCCTGAAGATTTAAACGTGTGAGACAGACTTTTTTCCTCTGGGCCCTGATGGCGAACGTTCTGTTCCCCCCCCCCCGTGTTTTCAGCCTGAGTTCAGGAAGTGACAGCTCACCCACGCAGAGCCGTAAAAATGAACCGATACAAATTCAATCATGTAAAACCTGTGACGTGATCGTATCTCTGAGTTCCAGTTAAAAAGCCGAGCGACTGAATTTTGTCCAGGCTAATAACTGTTGCTGCTGCAAGGGATTGTGGGATGGCAATATCTCCAGAGAATCCTACAATGAAGGAAATGCTCCGAGAATTTAACCAGCAAATATCTCCTCTCCTCTACCTCAGTTCTATCCGTGGTGGATTCAGCAAAAGAAACTGTTTTATGCAGCAGCTGTTAAAAATAAGAGGATGAGAGTATCGATGTTAGTTACGAGGGAGCAAAGCTGCCGATCTGCCCAAACTCCTCAAACAGCCCGGGCGACATACCGTTCATTCACAGCTCCTGCACCACACCTCTCCTCAGACGCCTCCTCTCAACAACCACGGCCTGTCACCTCAAATACATGAGGTTCCAATCTGAGGCCCTTTGAATGAGAATCTACAATAAAACAGGATTCAGTCATAAAGGGAACATCGGTGTCATTGATGAATCGCCAGGATTGTGTCAGTCGATACTTAAATCGCTCATTTTAGTTCATCTGCTGGTCGTGATCTCTGTCCATCCATGATCTGAACTGCTGATCCTTTCAGGAGGAGCTGGATCACCGCTGACGTTAGACCCTGAGCCGGTCTCCAGTCCGTCAGGGCCGTGGATAATAGTTTCATGGACTGAACACTCAATGCCCCCAGTGATGAGTTCATTTAACATGTCAGCTTTAAAGGCCTGTAGGTGAGTAAATGTAAATGAGTCATTGAGGGATCAGTGTTGCTCCACCTTTCCTCCTGCGGTGTGTGTTTACGGCCCCCTCCTGCTCCACCACTGTTCTCTGTAATTACACCTTCTCACTCAGACCCTTCCCCTCCGAGGCCTCTCCAAACACCTGAATCCTCAACATGTCATAACCCACAGAGACAGACACCATCGCACTTCAGCCCCCTACGTCCACAAGTCACTGTTTTCCTCCAGGTTCAGGTTTAAATTTATCAAGACGGACGTGAAACTGGAAGAATGAAAACATCTCAGGATGATAGAGCGGAGCCGTACACGACGAAGACGAGGACGAAGACGTCAACTTGGAAATAGGAGGAGCTCCCAGAGCGTCCTCATCATGTCCTGCCTCCTGCTGCTTCTTCATTTGTGAAACAAAAATCTTCACATTTAAGAAGCTGCAACCTGTGAATTTCTTGCATTCTTGCTTAAATTACTAAAAAGCTGCTGATTTATTTTCTGTCGATCATCGATCAACACTTCGTCTCATCTATAATCTACAGATTAAATACTGAAGGTGTTCCTCAGGCTGACTGGAGGGTTCCCCCGCATCTCCAACGAAGTCAACACAGGAAAATAGAAAATAAGGCAACTGACAAATTCCTTTGTTGCTTGTTTCGAAACGTACTTCAATTAAAAATCGGTGTTCTTTCACACTTCCTGCGAAATGATCTGTCACGTGTGCAGTAGAGTCAAATCTATGCACATCTCCATCACGAGTGTCCTGCAGCGTCCAGACGAGGGATCGTTTAAAGAGATTAAATTAAAAAAGCAACGATGACGATGTTCGATGCTGGAAAAGATGTTTTCATCTCTTTCTTTAAGAACCGATTCCAACACAGATTTTTAGCTTTTACCAGCAAATTCTTTACGTACGTTCACGTCTCGTCACCAGAGCAGCGACAGAATATTATACGAACACACGTGATGAGCGTGTTCAAGCGTACGGACGGGGACACGGAGACAAAACGCTTGTGTGGACAGATATTTTTGGATGGAACTCCCCCGATAGAACACATGCAGGAACAGGGGCCCCTCCACTGAACCAAACTTCACACAGTGACGTTCTAGTCCTCAACCAAACCTCTAACATCACAAAGCCTTTGGCAGAAAGTTCAGGGCGTTATCTCTCGTTGGGGGGGGGTTCCTGATCTTCCAGTCTCCTGTACGTCGACAATCCTTGAAGCTCACAGAGCTGACGACACTGTTGAGTAATTAGTCATTTCAGGGGCCCCCGAGCTGTGAGGGCAAGTCCCTGCTTTGCATAAAAGCCTCTTGTAAAGCCCCCGGAAAGTTTACAGTAAAACCTGGATCCTATGTTCAGTCGGCAGCTGAAAGAAATAAAATGAATGAAATAAATGCTGGAAGAAAGGAGGCGAGATTTGCGTTCACAGGTTTGGCAACATGACATCACGCTGCCGCATGTCTGAGATCAAAAGAAGAACCAGGATGTCACTCAGCTCACACCTCCACCCAGCAGTCTCCTTATGAGACCTCGGTTAAATTCACTATTACAAAAAAAAACACACACACTCATAAACATCAGTCAAGATTCTTGAATTCTTCTCTGATGAATCAACAAAAATGTTGAATTTCATTTATTGTATTAAAGCTAAAATCAAGAGAAACAAAGCTCACACACTATTTAATAGAATATCTGCACCAAACTGTGAAAATATCAACTGACTAAATGTGCCTAGATTAAAAAAAAACTAAAACAATATTGCGTGTTGCAATGTTAAAGACGAAATCTTAAAAATACGTCCACTAATGATCCACGTGCAGAGTTTAATGGGCTCCTCTCAGGCCTCATCATCGAAATCACTCTGGTAGTTTCTGTTTCATCAACGACGATGAGAACGACGACGCTTCAGGATGAAAACGCTCGAACAGAAAGTCGTCGTCCAAATATGGAAGACAGTTATAAATAATCATTATTACTGTTGCTGTTGTTGTCTCCCTGTTCATGTGTGTGCAGGCCTGTGTGTGTCTGTGTTGTATAACTGGCCTTCACCCCCTCTCCACACACACACACACACACACACACACACACACACACACACACACACACACACACACAGAGCATTCCCTGCAGTTGTTCCTCTTCTTGTCATTCCCCCACACCTTGAAGCAGAATGGAGAGAAGAGTTGAAGGTAGAGAGAGCAAAGATTGACACACATAGAGAGAGAGTGAGTGAGAGAGAGAGAGGAGTGGTAAACCGGTTGAGCAGGTACACACACACACACACACACACACACACACACACACACACACACACACACACACACACGCACACACCCAGGCTCCTCCAGCAGCTTGTTGTCACCGTTATTTCTGAGGCGCATGCGCGCTGCCGCCAGTTTCCTGCTTTTAAATGAGTACCTGTGTTTGACTCACCTCTGTCGACTCACCGTGAGTGTGTGTGCGTGTGTTATCTGCAGGGGTCTCTCTCTCTCTCTCTCTCGCTCACTCGCTCACACACACACACACACTCCCGTTACTTGCGGGCGCGCGAGCTAATATTCGTCTCTTTACCTGAGCTCACCTGAGCTGAGCGGACTCACCTGTCCCGACGTCCAAACACTTTCTGTTCCTCTCGCTGCTGGTTTTTTTTTTTATTCGACACTGGAAAGGAGGGAGAAGAGACGACAAGGTGTGTTTGAGTGAGAAAGAGAAGGAGAGGAAAGGTGCGCGGAGGGAGGGAGGAGAAGACACCTTCTCGTTTACCGTTGGAGTTTCCTGCTTTTCCAACTTTTTCTGCTTCTCCTCAAAACCCTTGTCCGAAGCCCCTGGTGGTCGGGATCGAACATGCCGCGGGCCTTTCTGGTGAAAAAGGCGAACGTTTCGCCGGGGAAGCGGAACTGGAGCGAGCTGCCCGATCATGAACGAGGAGACGTTTATATCCCAGGTGAGTCCACGCTGCCGTGATGAGCCATGTTGTTTTCATTCTGTGGGAGAAGGAGCTGGAGCCGAGGCGGGTTCCTCTGGGTCACCCCGGTGCCTTTTACGCACGGGATTTGTGGGGTTGGATGTTTGAAGCCACCGGGGGGAACATGAGTGCGGAGGCTCGGGAGAGCGGGGGTGGGGGGGTGGGGTGGGGGGTCGTGTGGCGAGTGTAACGGGGCCGGGGCCACCGAATAACGGGAAACACCGCGGTGTGAGAGTGTGAGAGTGCATGCATGTGTGGAGACGTTTTGAATCCATTTTTAACAAGCTGGCCTCGTTATCATGCGTAAAACTAGATTTGATCCAACTGTCACACTCCACTTATCACAAATACCAATAAAATAAAACCGGGAAAAAAGATATCAAGCGAACAGGGAAGTCAGAATATTCACACCTTTGCTTTCGTTGTGTCATTTAATAACTGTGGAGTTTGTTGCGGCCTATAAATGGTCACAGGGCCCGTTGCTTTTCACACATCGACCTTCAGCCTCTGATTGCAAACCTTCTTCCTTGAGCAGCTGAACCTTCTAAAGACCTTTTTAAATAGTAGACATTCAGCTCCGGCCTGTGAGTGAACACTAATAATTTAATCTCACTACACTGTTGAGTGATTGTGGGAATGATTGAGGTGGTTTTCACAGACGTTCCTCCGGTTTTAAGTTGTTTTTAAAAACGAATTATTTTTTTTTCAAGCAAACATGGAAACGGATTAAAGGCCCACTACCCTCCCTCAGGAGTCCCAACTGAAAAAGTACAAGACCTGACGTGTCGACTGTCAGATTCTGAGCTTTGACTTTACATTTAAATGACAAGTGGCGAGAATCCACGTTTTCCCAGCGACTCTTTCTCTCCCTCCTCGATAACAATCCCCATTGTTGCCATCGGTGGAGTTTTTATTGTAAGACCACGTCGGTATCAGATAACAAATAACGGACTACACCCTAAACCTCTCTCCCTCTCTGCTTCCCCCCACCCTCTCTCTCTCTCACCCTTCCCCCCTCACCGTCTTTCCCCTCTTCTTCCCATCACCGTTAACTTTTAATCATTGACTATCACATCCTCTTCTTAACACTCTGGATGAACTGAACCGCATCCAACTTCCAGGTGTTTTCTTTTTTTTTTTTTTTTTTTTCAAAAAGAAAGGAGGAGCAACTAAAACTTGAAAAATATTCAATCACCTCAACAGAAGCATCGTTGTTTTAGGCCTGCTCCACAGCTGTGACGCTTTTCATGGCTCGTCTTTACGCACAAAACACAGAGAATGAACCAAGTCCCCCAAAGAGAAATAAACATATTACACAACACGATGAGATTCTGTAGATCTGACTTTTCATCAGTGTGGAACTTAAAACAGAAACAGCTGTAAATAACAGAGAAGATCCAGTTTGTCATGGGAACATTTCTCAATAATAAACAGGATACTCCGTGCGCAATTACGCACAGTTAACACTCCTCACCAAACCCCCGCAACGGTCTCAGCTTAAGTTTGTGGTATGTGCCGTTACTTGATGTACCTGCCTGACGTGTGTTTTTATGCACGTGACAGAGGGACACGCACACACGCCTACACGCGCACATGCTCACCCAGAGAGAGGTATGATAATTGCCCTTGTCCTCTAAAGGTAGTTCCCTGATGCATACCACATCCTTCTGCTAAGTTTTGAGGAAACCTGTTTTTTTGCTTATTAAAGAAAAACCTGTTCATTTGCTTTGTTGACGAGAGTAAAATGACCTTTGGGTAAATGTGCTGCAGCCAGAGGCCCGGCTAACTTAGCTTAGCATCGAGCACGGAAACACAGGTGGTGTGTCCAAAGATAAAGAAGATCCATCTGACAGCGTCTCTGAAGCTCATGAACTAACCAACATGTTACATCCTGTTTGTTCGGTCCACGTCGAAGTGTCCGAACGACTTCCTGGTGTCTCGTCGTCCGTGTGAGGTCACACTTTTACCCTTTGCATCAATCAAACACACCACAAATAACAGTTTTCTTCTTTTACGCCGAAACCAGCAGGTGTGAGCAAGTTTACCGGCTAAATAAACAGAATTAGCTCCTTTCAGCTCGGTCGTATCTGTTTATCTCTGTATTTATAGTTTATAGTTAAACTGTAAAGCATCAGACCTCAGTCACATTTCTTTGTCAGAAGAGTTCTTACTCAGGAATCATTGCCAAATGTTTTTTTTTAAATATAAATATCAGGCATTGGATGTTTTTTTACTTTCTATCTATCGGCCCCAAAGATCCACCTCGGTCGGACCCCTACTCTTGAGCTCGTGTTTAATGGTGTGGTTGCGTTCATCACTTTGAGCTCAGGATCTGTGCTCTCGGTTTGTCCCGAGGCCGCTGCGAGGTTAATGTTTATTGGATGGAAGGAAATGTAACGGACTTCTCAGGAGGCCTGCTGCAGCCGCCTTTAGCAAACACACACATGCACTTATACATAAGACATGCAGAGACTCACACACTGCGTCAGATAAGGTTATCTGCCGATTGTTGACTCGTTCTCTCACCTGAGCGACATTAAATGGAACCAGGAGAAATCATGAGAGTGTTTTGATCAACACAGTTCCCACACCCTCCTCTCAGAAACTTTGGGTCTCTGTATCTTCCACCTTCCAAACACACATATACCTAAGTACACACACACACACACACACACACACACCCTCGTTCATTGTTGAGGGGAGGGGAGGGGGGGGTGAACAAACAACACAAGATGAGATTAAATGTCCAGCCGGCAGCAGTCACCACAGAAACCATCAGTTCACTGGAACAATAAAGAAAGAGTTTCCAACTTGTGTAACGGTCCCACACATTATTTTTATTATGAATATTATTAAACTGTGTAGATTTCTGGGGCTGATGTTATGATATTAGGAGTAAACATCTTTTCAGATGTTGCTGTAATTTGTCAATGATGAATATGAAATGTAACTGAGGTTCCATGTTTTACAGTTTTACCATAAACTTTATTATAATAAACCATAAATAAAAAGACAAAAACAAACACAAGCAAAGAGCTTCTCAATTGAAAATACATTATTTGGACGCAGGGTTTTTACCACAAGGTCTGGAGACTCTTCATCCGCGTCCTCTTTTAACAAGTATTTTTATCTTTTCTTTGTCTGTCTATGTCTTTTTAGTGTAAACACAGATACGTATGTGAAAACCAGGCTCTAGTCTCAGTCTTTTCTGCACTGATGATTTGTGAAAGATTCATATCTACTCATTTCTATCGCTTCTCATATTCAGAAACAATTGTGTGTTTTAGAAGAGGTGCCTCTCGTCCATCGGTGCACTTCCTGATTTAAATGATGTTTTAGACCAATTTTTCTCAGTATTTCACAAACTAAAGTCATCAATGAAAGCCACCGGAGCTCTGTGAGTGATTCCTGCATTTAAATTTCAGTTTCATCTCACTGAGTGGAACCACACCTGCCTCTGGCTACACACACACAAACACACACCATATCTGTGGAGGTGGATTGTTTGAGGAAGGTTCAGAGCTGGTGCTGCAAGACTGTCTGGCTGGACAAGTCTGTAATGGTAGTGTGTGTGGGTGTGCGCGCGTGCGTGCGTGTAAAACAACAGGCCAGATATGCACACACAGCCTCGCATGCAAACATGTTTAACTCTGCACGTTTGTTAATTGAGAGATTGTGTAAACATGAAGTGGTGCACGCTGAGACCCGTTGTGAAGTTGAATATTTAAAAAAATATTCTTTCACACGTGTCTCACCCTCAGTCCGTAGTTTTACTTATAAATCGCACGTTGTTTGTTGGAAACGAACGAAGCGAATGCAAATGATGAATTTGAAACCTTGCATGATTTTAATTTAATTTGATATGTTAGGATTTTCTCGTGCACAGAAGGTGACGTAGAACCGTGCAACCCGAGGAGACACAAACAAAAGCTGAGCACAATATTTTCCGCTAAAATGTCTTTTAATCTGTAGAAATAAGGCCTGAACTTAATTTTATTTCTGACTCTTCATAGTCGATAAAAAAATTTAAAAACTTTGAACTGATATAGTTTCGTCCAAATTATTGATTTAGACAATTATTCTTAAGAATTTAAATAATATGGAGCCTTTTTTATATTTGCCTGGGAAATGACTTACTCTCCAATAAAAGTAGTTTCTTTTATTGATTGTTATTGTGACACTATTGTAATCACTATTTCCCAGAGATGAGAATAAATATCATGCTTTTTTTTTTTTACAGTACATGTGTGTTTTTAGAAGACATGAAGACACTGACTCTCTCTCTCTCTCTCTCTCCCTCTCTCCTTTCTAGTCTCCATCTTCCCTTCGTCCTGCCTGATGGAGGCTGAGGCCAGCCCCGCTGAAACGACGCCGCTCTGCCTCACCAAACGCTCTGTATCCGACGCACGGACGCACGCCGAGCTGCCGTCCAGCACGGTGCTGGGACGGCCGCGAAGCCCCGATGCTTCTCTGGGCGGGAGGTCGGAGGTCAGGAGGAGGTCGCTGGGCAGCTCCACGTACGTCCGATCCAAAATCAAGGTGAGCGAACGAGCAGCTGAAAGTGTCGGTGGAGACAAATATAAATTAAACATCAAACAAAAACTCAAGTTTTCCTTCTCTCTCTCTCTCTCTCTGCCGCAGGTGACCACGGGCGAGTTACCCCCCAGCCCCACCACTTTACCTCTCTCTCTTCCACCCATTCCCACCACCCCCCCACTGACCCCACCTGCCACCGTGATGCCCGTTGCCCTGACAACCACCCCTACCCAGCTGGAGGTGGTCCCCATGGTAACCAGATCCACAGGTCAAAGTGCGGCGACGGCGAAAACGGGGTTGTTCGTGTGTCAGGTATGAACCAGTCCGAAACTTTAACCTGGAATCCACGTTGGTATTATTAGATTTTATATTTTGACATTTATTCGGTAAAATTAAGACACGTGTACTGAAACTGGATCTCACTTGGACACAGTTCTTCAAAATACCAACTTGTATTCATGGGAAAACTTTATAAAACTTTATAAAAGTTATATCGAGGCTGTGAAGGTGATTTCCCTGACCGTAGTGTTCCTGCCTGCAGGTTTGTCAGAAGTCCTTCCAGTACCAGCGGATGTTAAACAGACACGTCAAGTGTCACAACGAGACCAAGAGACACATCTGCACCTTCTGCGGCAAAGGCTTCAACGACACCTTCGACCTCAAGAGACACGTTCGCACACACACAGGTAACCTCGCACTTCCACGTCAAAACGCAGCCGCTCGGTTTTTTCGACAGACGTGAAGAAGAAGAAAAACGTGTGACACATTTTGATTTTCCCGCAGGCGTCCGCCCGTACAAGTGCAGCCTGTGCGACAAGGCCTTCACCCAGCGCTGCTCCCTGGAGTCGCACATGAAGAAGATCCACAGCGTCACCCTCAAGTACGCCTACAAGGAGCGGCGCAACAAGCTGTACGTGTGCGAGGAGTGCGGCCACACGGCGGGGACGCAGGACGAGCTGGGCATCCACCTCCACTCGCTCCACCCCGACAGCCCCCTGCTGAAGGGGAAGGCTGCCAGGAGAGCGGGAGGAGAGAGGGCGGGGAAAGAGGACGGGTCGGTCGGAGGGTCCATGCCAGGTTCTCCCCAAGGAGCCGATAGCGATGATACCACCGGGTCTGCGGGGCCGTAGAGCGGAGGAGGGGGTGGTCTGCAGAATAAGCTCAGGGGGGGGATGAAGGATGGATGATGGACAAGAAAGGTGGACGACAAGTCATATACCACCGTATACCACCATTAGAATACATGTATATATTATGTGTGTGTGTATATTTATGAAAGTGTGTGTGTATGGATTGTGGGAATCTGTATATGACTCATGTTAAACAAGGTCAAGTCAGACTTTGACTCATCGTTCATATTTTTACAGTTCATGGGGGTTTTGTTGTGGAAAAGAGTATTTACACATCTGACAATATATTTTTCTGCCTTTGTATCATGTGCATATTTCCTGTGGGCTCTTCTGTACAGTATGAAATGTGAGTTTTTCTACTCAAAAAGCTGAAAGCATTATATTAAAGGGAGTAATATATGAATCTGAGTTGTATCCTACATTATTGATGTCATTGATTTAATATTGGGTTTTTTTTGGATCTAAAAGCAACGGTGGAGGAAGAACTCAGACATTTCACTTTGGTTAAAGTACAAATAAAAAGACAAAACTTAAATAAAAGTAAAAATAAGTATTAAGTAAGTAATAAGAATAAAAATTATTGCAGAGAGTATAATATTTCCTATTACAATTGTCAATTACTCATTATGTCTCTCATACTTGTAAGTAAAGATACCTGAAAAATACACTTAAGTAGATACATTTTCAGGTACTTTCTAATTTTACTCCACTACATATATCAGCAAATATCTGTACGTTCTACTCCACTGTATTTTTTCAAAGAAAGAACAGTATTAGATATTCACGGTGTGTTTTTATATGGATATAAGTAAAGAACGAGAGGCCACGGCCAAGATTAGGGAGGAGAAGAGTTATTGTTGGACTTTTATTTGAGTAAATAAACAAAGTACATTTACTTTGCTGTTGTACATAAGTGCTGACACATGAAAAATGTACTCTAGTACAACAACAAACTAAATTTACTTTGTTACGTCCCAACGCTGTTTAAAATGACAGAGATGCTGCTGAAGGCAGAAGTGAGTTTTTACATATTTACTGGTTATTAATGGTATAGAAATACTTTTTAAGGTTTTTAGTTTCCTGTATGAACGACACACAAAGAGGCAGCGCGGCGTTGTTTCACGTTTTTTAAGGCGTTGTCAGACACCTGGTTTCACTTCAATACAACAGAACAGGCAAGGCGAGTTTATTTGTAGAGGTTGTTTCGACAAGGCTTTTCTAAGTGCTTTACATAAAATGCAAAAGGCAACACAACAAAAAAACATTTAAAAGGATCCCTGGAGGGATGTGATCCACTCCAGCTGCAGCGTTTTGAATCCTGCTCGATTAAGACCTGCGAACACAAATCAGAATAAGTTAACAAATCTCTTCACCCTCTCTCCAGTCCACAAAAGATGGTTTTACTGTTACACACTAATTACGCTGGTTATTTTACCCCCAAGCTTTTGACTGTGTGTTCTGGAAGAGAGACAGAGAGAGGGAGAGAGAGAGAGAGAGAGAGAGAGAGAGAGGGCGGGAGGATGTGGCTGGGAGGGTGAGGTCGGATTCCTGGTGTCTGTCCGGTCTTGTCGGGAGATTCCTGCAAACTCGCTTCAGCCCGAGGAAACTTGGGATCGGCTTCAGGTGACAATCACATAACGGTCTGAAGTCAGCGGCTGATTTCACACAAAGTCATATTTGATTCATGAGAAGAATCACTTTACTGATCTCAGATGTTTTGCTGCTGTTTACTCGATTCTCTTTATATCGATGTTTAGCCCTCGTGACTCCGTACGACATCCTACTCCCCCTACACTGAAGCCACATGGTAAATTAATTAATTAAATGATTGTCTAATCAAACAAATTGCTAGTTAAAGCCACAATTATGGGTTTTATTGTCTTAAAAAAACTCATAAACTGAGTTATATTTGTTCAAATGCGTCAAAAATTAATGTTAGAATTATTAAAAATTCATCAAAGTTATTAAATTCATCATTTTGCTGATAAATTAACTTTCTATTGATTTATTTTTCTTTTAAAAAAAAAAAAATCCCTAATTCAGTTTCATGGCGTCCTTTGCTCTGACTTCCGCCTCCGGTCATGTGACCCGCGTCAACCCGGAAGTGCAGGGTTTGTTTTGAACAGCAGGCGCCAGCAGCAGCAGCTGGAGCCTAAAGGTCAAAGGTGAGCTGAGTTTCCAGGTCAGGACACTTTGTATTCGTCTGTTTTCTTTTTTAAAAACCTTCCACACGTGTTGTCCGCTAGTTTAAACTCGCTGCCATGTTCTCCTGCGAACTGGAGGCTGCTAACGTTAGCTGGATGTTAGCTGGATGTTAGCTGGATGTTAGCTGGATGTTAGCCGGTGCTAGCTAAAACGGTCCACAGGAGTTTATCGTGATGTTTCCTTCAGGTGCGGATCGATGCCAGCTCCGGAGCCGGTCCGGCTGGGTCGGAAACGCGGCCTGCCCTCCTGCCCCAACCCGCTGTTCCTCCGGTGGCTCACGGAGCTGCGGGACGAGGCGAAAGAAAAGGGACTGAAGATCCAGTTCTGCTACCAGAAGGTGAACAGGACCCTCCACTCCCGTGAACCCACCGCATTAAAACAACACTATGAATTATTGTGCGTTCACATGGTGCAATAATCTGAAAACTGAGATCCTGTGGACAATAACAGACTTACTGTACTCTGCACAATCCCTCCACTGGTGCTCGTGCTACATTTATATTTAATTTAGTTTCATAGTTTCTGTATTTTATAATTAAACTTGCACAAACGTACCACAGCAAATTTATTGTACGTGCAAAATTATTTGGCAATAAAGACTGATTCTGAAAATTCACGTGAACGACTGAGAAAGTCTGAGAAAATGTTGGTTCACGAGTGACTGACGCCACCGTCATGGTCACATGTGACACTTCTTGACTTGTGTTTTCTTTCTCTCACTACGTTATTTAAAGGCCTGTCACACCTGATCCTTTCTCTTTGCTCGTCTACCTCTGCCTGATATCAATCAACCTAATTATCTTATATGTATTTTAATCAGGCCATCAACTCTCTGAATAAATATCCTCTGCCGCTACAAAACGCCAAAGAGGCGAAGATCCTCCAGAACTTTGGAGACGGGATCTGCAAAATCCTGGATGAGAAACTGCAACGATACTTGAGAGAGAACGGTGAGACGCACGTGAACGGATGAAGTAACTCATCCACATGTGAATTTAAAAGCGAGCCAATGATGTTGTGATTTAATAACCGTGTTACCAAAAAACTAACGAACTCATGATCAAGTGGGAAAACTGTCTGAACATAGGGAGAGAATTCAAAGGGGGGAGATTGATGGCCAAAAAAGACAGAATGAGAGATTCTATAAAAATAAATAAATGTGAAACTAGTTTCCACATATTTTATACATATTGTATTTATAAGGAAACCAGATGACAGACAAGTTTAATAAACCACAGCTTGCACCTCCTCCTCTACTGCAGAAAAAACAACTTGTACTCAGCATAAGATTTTTAATTCTTTTGAATCTCTGCTCCAGGTCCAGACGCTCCTATTCATTCTCTGCCTAAAGGGGCGCCCCCTCCTGGCCGACCAGACAACAACAACCTGGCTCCACCCACAAAGGTAACTAGCTGAGTAGAGCTCACGTGTTCATCATCTCCTAACGACTGGATCCAGAACTTTATAAACAACAAACATAACACACACACTCATAATGATTGTTCCCCCTCGATAACAGTGGGGAGAGAATTCCTGGATCCGCCCACAGATCCAAACCAAGATTTAATGAGTTGTTAACTGACAGACACCACATCCATCAGTGTCACATTCATCTGTCCTGTAGGTTTTGCGTAATCCTGCTACCAACCAGACAAACATACACAGACAAAGACATAACGTCCGTGGTGCAAGTAATTAGAAGGAGGTAAATTGATAATAGTGTTTTTCTTTATAGAAGAATGTTGCCAAGGATAAAGGAGGAGGAGGAGGAGGGAGGAAGAAGAGGGAGTATGTCCCTCAGAAGAGGTCTGGGGGTTATGCTGTTCTCCTCACACTTTACAGACAGTCACAGGTACAAATGTCCCTATGAGACATTTCACAAACATGTACATGTATTTCACCGTGGCCTCGTTTAGTCTCATTAGCATCATCTTTCTCTCCAGATCCCGGGAAGTAAAGGTTACATGTTTAAACTGGAGCTACAAGCCGAGGCTCAGCTTCTCTGTGATAAATCTTTCAGTGTCGTAAGTCAAATTCTTTGTCACTTTAATCCTTTGTCCCAATCGTCATGTGTCCATATCTTCTTGTGCAGTCTGTTCATTTCAAAATAAACTAACATGCAGATTTTTTTTTATCCTAACGTCGTGTGTGTCTGCCTGTAGCCAGATCTCGGCAGTAAGTACACGGCCTGGTCCTCAGTCAGCACGCTGATCCAGAAGAACCTGGTGATCAAGACCCACAGTCCTGCAAGGTACACAACAGGAAGAGGACATTTTCCACATTTTGATGAAGACTTGTTTTTCAGGACACCTCAGTGATTTCCGGCTGTTTTCTGTCTCAGGTTTTCCCTGACTGACGAGGGTCTGATTTTGGCCGAGCGACTGGAGGCAGCGGAAGAAGGATCCAAAGACCGAGTGGAGGTGAGGAGTGAACGAGAGGAGGTGGAGGAGGTGGAGGAGGAGGATGGTCCAGGGGTTGTGGATCTTACTTGTAGTGACGATGAAGAGGAGAAAGAGGACAGAACACAGTGAGTTGATGCCGAAGAGGTGAAGGTATCATGTTGTCCTCGTCTTCCAGCTGGAACACAACACATCACTTTCTCTTCACAGTCCCACAGAGAGACCGACCTGCGTCTCTCAGTCAGACAGAGACGTGAACGTGAAGACTCTAGATTCACAAACGAGCAGGAAGCCGAATGGAGGATGTCTTCGACCTGGGACGTATGATATTTTACTCTGTGTCGACTTCATTGAAACTACAGGGTAAGAGAACCATCATGAGTGTGTGTGTGTAGATTTAAGTGCGTGTGTATTAAACTGCATCCTCATCCTTTCGCCACCTTTGTTTGTGCAGCGGCAGCAACCACCGGAAACAGGAGCTGGCCAAAGAGCTTCAGAGAAATGGAGTGAACTTCGATGTCAGGAAACTAAACGTCGGAGACTTCCTGTGGGTGGCTCGGGAAAAGGTCGCACCGGTTCCAGGTAACGCAGACGCAAATACGAGGAGAAAAAAAACGACTGTTTCTTCAGTTCTCTTCACTTCCTTCACTCAACTCTAAACTCTAAAGCATCTTGTAACTCTGGTTTTGAAATGAAATTCACTTCCTCGCTCCAGTCATGAAAGTCTCTCAGTGAATTATTCCGTCACAGTTTCCGTCTCCTCTCAGGTCAGTTGCGAGCTCCGGCCGGCAGAGAGCTGGTGCTCGATTACATCATCGAGAGGAAGAGGATGGACGACCTGTGTGGCAGCATCATCGACGGACGCTTCAGGGAACAGAAGGTCGGTCGTGTGTGTTTTCCTTCTTCAACGATAAAGAATGAATACTTTCTCATTTAAAGATCTCTCTCTCTCTCTTTCTCTCTCCATCAGTTCCGACTGAAGAGGTGTGGTCTTCGCAGGCCCATCTACCTGGTGGAGGAATGTGGAACTGCGGCCTCTCATCTGAGTTTACCTGAAGCGACGCTGCAGCAGGCGATCGTCAACACTCAGGTGAGTCAGTCCTGCATGAACACGTTGGTTTGCTCTGGACCGAACCACGGCCAGGTTACTGTTAATGGACCAAACATTGCAGGTGGTGGATGGTTTCTTTGTGAAGAGAGTCCAGGATGTGAGGGAGTCTGCAGCCTACCTCACCATCATGACCCGATACCTCACCAAGCTCTACCAGGTAACTGACACACGGTCTGTTTACAGTCTGTGGTTGACGACTGACTCACTCACGTCCTCCTCAACTGTGACTGTTGTCTCTTCACTTCAGGACCGTACGCTGATCTGTCGCTCCAGAGAGCTGGAGGGGGATGAAGCGGGTGACGAGGAGAGAGGGAGCCCCTCCTGCTCTCTCATGTCTTTTGCAGAGTTCAACCACGGGGCGATCAAAAACAAGGTGTGTGTCCGTAAACCCGATCGATCTGTCTTTCTATTTATCTCTATCTATCCTTTATCCGTCTGTCTAAACTTCAATCACACTGCACAAAATTACACGCACTCATAAATATCAGTCCTCTAAACATGTCCATGAATCATCCCCAACACTGACAGAACAGCCGTCAGGGGACATTTCTACATTTCTTCAATCTGGAGTTGCCGGGGCTCAAACCTCGACCCGCTCTACCCCCTGGGCCACAGCCGCCTCAGGTGTTTTTTTTATAAATCCATGTTTTTGTTTCCTCCAGTGTCAGACGGTGAGAGAAGTGTTCGCCAGACAGTTGATGCAGATCAGCGGTTTGTCTGGAGACAAGGCAGCAGCCATACTGGAGAACTACAGCACCCCCTACAGGTAACACACTCACATGACACACAGATCACCAAGTGTTCGAACTCATTCACTCCGCTCGTCTGGGAGGTTCAGGTCTTTCCTCAGAGAGTTTTATTTCCCTGTCCTTCTCTCTGTCAGTCTTCTGACGGCTTATGAACAACGTACAAGTGAAGCAGAGAAAGAGAAGCTCCTCTCTTCGATACGATACGGGAAACTCAAAAGGTTTGTAGAAGCAGTTTTATTTATATTAACTTTACTTTCACCAGCATGTAACCTGTGTTTTTACCTGCATCTCTTTTCTTTATCTCTCTCTGTTTCCACTTTTTAAAGATGTCAATGTTCTTAATATGTTCGGTTTTTAAATAACATTTTCTTGTAAAGCTGCATTTTATTCTTTTTGAACTGTTGAAACTTTATTTAAACCAAACTTGCTACAAAAAGGAAGATCAACTACGTCTCCTTTTGTTTTTCAGAAATCTGGGTCCAGCTCTGAGCAAAACCGTTTATCAGCTCTACTGTACCCAAGGAGCGCTGTCATGAACACACACACTCCTCTTGTGATCTGATCACATGATAATACTTGAACAGATTGACTGTTACTGTTCGTTTAAGGTGCTGCTACTTTAATTTTCTATAAAATAATCCCTGATGAAGAATTTCACAAATGTCTCCTGATACTCGATCAATAAAGTTTCTTATTTTTTAAAGGTATTGTGTTATCAAGTGTCAGAAGCTCCAGGGTTTAAGTTTAATTAATTATAAATATTGATCAACACTCGACAGAATCTTGTTTGTATTTAACGCAGGAGCCACTTTGCTCCTGCGTTAAATATTTTTCTCTTTTAAGATTATTATATCCTGGGTTAAATAACACATTTTAAGATAAGTACAACATTTGAAAGGATTAAAAACTGTTGATCAGAAACAATTAAACAATAAAAAGTAAAATAATGAGCAACAACTGCGTGTTTCAGCAAAAAACAACAAATATTTGCAGGCTTCTGTCACGAGAATCACTTTAATATATTTGGGGTTTTAAACTGTTGACTGAAACTTTCTCATTTTGATTTTCATAAAGCTGCCACTAGATGTCACTAAAGAGTTGTGTTTATAACTTGATAGCTTCTATAATCAAGTTTCTTCTTAATAATATTGTGATTAAAAACGTTTCAAACATTCAAACCACTTCACAAAGCTACAATCATCTCCCTGTGGTTGTGTGTCTCCAACAATCGGTGCAGTGCGGAGGCATAAAAAACACAAATGGTTTTCTGCTCCAGAGATGAAATGACCTCAGACACATTCCTGTTCATCGTGACACCGTCCTCGACGCTCGGCCTCCACCGTGGCTCGCTCCTGCTGCAGCCGATCGTCCCCTCCGCTTTCCTGCACGACAAGCGGACAAGTGATTACAGAGGGAAAGAAGAAAAATCTCTGAAATGATCTTGTAATTTAAGATTAATAATAGTAAACATGTTGGTACCAACCTTTTGGATAATTATGAATAAATTCAAAGACACTTGAGGTGACCTGTTTCAGTAAAGTGTTTTAATCCACCAGTGCATTGATCTGAGAGAAACACTGAAACACATCATGTCTCCTTTAAACCGAACAACTCAATGACGACTCCAGTGGATTGAACTCGAGACGTTGGATGAAGGAACGGCGACGTGGAGCCGCTCTGCTCTTCACATCATCGTCACCTGTGAAACTGAAGAAACTCAATCACATTATCTGATGTTTCAGCAACACAAAGTAACTTTTACCTTGAAGCAGCCGTTCGATTTGAGTTTGCAGGATGTTTCCTCTTTCATTCCCACTAATCGTCACGTGTGGCTGCAGAGGGCGCTGTTGCTCAGTAAAAGTTACATAGCGTTGCTTTACAAACTGTACAAACCAACCGATGTAACACAACGACCTCATTCAACTATTAAATAAATAAATGTGTGTGGACGTGCGGTGAAGAAAACCAGGTTTCTGCTGTTGCATAAGTTTTACTTAGAGCACGGTGAATAAATCAGACCAATGTAACTGGAAAAAAAAGACGAAAGATGTCGCCAGCAAATGTGACCCAACGAGACGCTGGAGGTCAGGTTGTTAAAATAGAATTGTTCTTGCTTTCTAACTGTGAGGAAACCAGACATCGTACACATACATACAATCAAAAACCTAACGTACAGGAGCAATGGGAAACGGGAGCTACGGGATTCATTCGAGGATCTAACTGTGAAACTCTAACGCTGTCGTGAGCTCATGTGACTCTGGCTAATTTGAAAATGACATCAGAAGCAAGCGGTGTGTTTGACTTTACTGGTTTTGTGTGTTTATTTATTTTTTTGCCTCTAACACTCGGCCACGCCATCTCTGCTCTGGTCCCTAACCTGACAACGTCTGTCCTACAAAACAAAAGCAGGAATACAAAAAAACAGAACAGATTAACAAAGTGCCATTTCCGTTGTTTGTCTTTTAAAGAAAAGAATCCGACTTTTTCAGGTCCGTCTTAAACCAACACGGTAACGTCGCCTATATTTAAGGTGCCATCGTTCGTAATGTAATCCCTTCTTCGTTCAACAGTACGTCCACATGTGCAAACGTCAAGTGTTCAAGCCATAGACCGATAAATAAAGATGGACGACATGACAGCTCCACTAAAGTGAAGGCAAAACATCTTGATTGCCCCCTAGTGGCTGGCTGCAGTATACTCTATGTTTCAATTTATAATTGATGATAGAAAAAACGAGGGTGATAGGAAACGATGTTGCTACCGTGGGTCAACACTACGATCTCCAAAATGACGTCAAAAGCAAGGCAGCACTTATATTCGGGACATTTTTCCCCATTTGCATTTTACACAGATCAAGAATCATCCTCCATCTTTTCGAAGGATGATCAATCCACGTCTCTATAAAAAGGAAGAACAACTCCGTTAACGTACGTGGGGGCGTGTGAGTGCAGGACGAAGACGGACATGAAAAAAGAAATCTGCGCATTTTCTCCACCGACGGTAAAAACAGGAGCAGTGGGGGTAAAACTGATCCCAAATTCAAACCAGAGTCAGTTTCTCTCTCTCTCAACTGGTCCCCATCATAAAGCACGGCGGGCGTCATCGCTGACTCCGACACTCCGAACCTAAAGTCAAATATTCACTTCCTCCTCTGCGTGTCAGCCGCCACGTCAGTCACTGAGTGCGAGATGTTCCTGTGGTCAGTTCCCACACAACACGTGAAGAAGAAACAGTTTTGATTCTGTGATTCCATCCTCGAAAGACAGGGGGCGTCTTTGTTCACAAAAAAAGAAAAAGAAAAAACAGCCGGTGAAACCAACGCGAGGATTCTGGATCCAGTAATAATCAGAACTCTTTCCAGCGAGGAGACAGAATACTTCAGGACAAACGCGATGTCCTCTGCTGATTCATGAGTTAAACACATGAGGGTCAGCAGCCCTCGTCATCACGGAGCCTCGTTAGTCGGGCATGTCGATACAGAGTTTAGGCGGCGGGACAAAGTACTTCCCGGGGCTCTGCGTGATCACCACGCCGGTCTTCTTGTGGAACATGGGGGCAATCTTCGGCGGCGGCTCGGGGACGGGCAGGTCCTCCGCCGCCTCGGGGTCGTCACTGCGCTGGAGGTCAAAGGACACATTGCCGTACTCCCGCAGGAAGGGGAGGAGCTCCAGCAGGAAGTGGCAGAAGTCCTTGCGGATGCCAAACCACCCTGCAGGGACATCAGGACGGAAGAGAAACATCGTGACCCACAGCGAACAATAAAATTGATTTTAAGTTCACACACACACACACACACATTCATGACTTCTAGAAAAACTGACGGCCCTACCGTCGAGGCTAACACCATGCTAACACCATGCTAACACCCTGGCATGTTGAAGAATAATAAATACTGGACCCTCCCGTTTATACGGATCCTTTCCAAAATTCGATGGCTTCTTCCTTGAGTCAGGCCCCAACCCTCCACAAAATCTTATGAAAATTGGTTCAATTGGTTTTTGCGTAATCCTGCTGACTGACAAACACAGCAGATAAATCACAACCTCCTCGGCAACAATAGGCATCATAAAAATATCATTTCGACTAAAATGCTGACTGACCAAATATTTAATTCTTTTAACAGCGGCACCTTTTGGTGCTTTCTGGATAAACTGATGCAAAAAGCACGAATAAAATGCTCAGTAACTTTAGATTGTTTTAAATTTTAAGACACAAAATAAGACTTCAGCTATAAACACGACTGGAGGCCGGAGCACCATAAAGTTTAACAGACGAGAACAACACATTCAGCAGCCCACAGCACATTACTGGCTTTAAATACTCACAGTGGTTCCCTCCCTTCTGGCCAAAGGTGGTGGCCATGAGCGTGAGCAGCGAGAGCCACAGAGGCACGAACACACACACATAGCTCAGGTTGTTGTGCTCGTCCAGCTTGTGCACCAGGAGGATCTGAAGAGACACGTCTGAATTCAAAAAGTGCCAGCAGCATTCATGAAAGTGTGTAATGTAACGGAAATATTGTGTTTACAGTCTGCTGCAATCTTTATGGTGATGAGTTCTTTTTTTAAACACGGTATCTGTAAATTAACTGAACATTTGAGATGTTTTATTTCATCACATTTTATCTTGAAACAAGCAATCTGCTACTCCTCATATCCAGGACACAGTTCAAACTGAAAGTTAAAATAACTTCAGCAAAGATGAGTTTTAATGCGACAGAGCGTCAACGGTTACTCACATATTTACTGATGCTCATAAAACAGGAAGCACTAAAGGTTTAAGTTACATAATCACATCCCTGAACACAGACAATGTGACAGTTGGGGGACATGTGGCTGAATGAAACAATCGAGTCGTCCACCACCTCCTGGAGTTGAAGAGAGTTCCTTGAGAGAATTTAATTATTAACATTAACCCCAAACAGAAGAAGGGTTTGCATCTGAGCTGCTGGAGGGAATACAGAAATGATTTGCTCTATAATGCCCCGTGGCTTTTATTCTATCTGGAAGGAAGCTGCAAAAATAATTTTGACATCTGTAAACAATCACAACCCTTCAAAAAACAATTCTGTTTCAAATGTGTAAATAAATAGAAGAGTAGATTTTCTTACATTATACCTCGTGTTATACAGACTTCACCACAGGAAATACAATTTACCAAACAACTTTAAACAGGATTTATTACAAAATTTACAGACACAGAACAGTTTTTGAAACTCACCTCGAAGGTGAGAAGCGGCACGACAATGGTCATCCAGCTGATCGCCATGGTGATGTGCGTTCGCCGTTGCTCGGCGATGATGTCGATGGAGCGGAGGAAGAGGACAGACCAGATGATGTAGTAGAGGACGACAAGGCACAGGAAGGACATCAGGATCCACAGTGGGACGCACACCACCTGCGAAACACACACACAAGATGAGGGTAGAATATTATAACCGACAGTGTCCTTAGATTTACAATAAATCGTGATTAATGAATAAACTGTGATGTAATTTGTCAGTGTCTCTCACCAGCCAAGGCCAGTTGATGATCTTGTCCAGCTTCAGAGCGATGAAGATGAACTGGAGAATATTCACTGAACACAACACCTCCAGCTGAGGAGGAAGAAAAGAAAAGTTCAGCTCTGTGATGGTGGTTGATGTTACGTCTCACACAAAAATCTCTTTTCTATCTTTCTGCATCTGGGCTTGATTACAGAAACTCTACCGGTCACTTTGTCTAATCTTGATGGAAACTAAAGGGTGTACATTTTTTTTGAGACCAGTGAATCACAAGGGGACACATCAGATGAGTGGGTGGATGTAAACACAGAGAACCATGCATGAAACATGAAAACAAACGATACTGGGAACAAGGTCAATATACAACAGACCAAGTGTTAACCTCTCTGGACAACAGCACTTTTATTATTAAAGCCAAACCGGATTATTGGGGAGGTCCCAGATACTAACATATAGATAACAATTATCAAACCCATATGACAAAGAAATGAATATTTTACAGTTTAACCAGAACTTTATTATAAATGAAGAAATCACAAATACATAAAACTTTATTTTACATAGAATGTAGACACAAATACACATGTTTTCTGCATCCTCCATTCTTTAAAATAAAAGTTTTCATAACTGCAAATATTAACGCTGTGACTGGGATGTCAGTCAGCCTCGTTCAAATCAACACATACATCTCTGAACTTTCTCCCAACACAATTAATACTGAACGAACTGGCTTAAATTATGATGCCACTTAAAAGTTTGGCTGCAGGTTCATGTTGTTTTTCTGTCTATGTGTCTTCGTGTATATTAGATTCTTTACCTCGAGAGAGCGGTCGTGTCTAAACCCCCAGACGCAGGCTGCTACGGAAACAGGGGACACGAGGAAGAGCGGCATGAAGACGATGAGCCAGAAGTAAGCTCCCCTCGCCAGGCAGTCGCACACCAACACCTCGAACATGAGCAACAGGACGTGGAGCCCCACTGCGATCAGCATGGCTTTAAACTCCACGCACGTCTCGCCTTCAGCTCTGAGGGAAGACACAAAAATAATTACAGTTGTCCACAATGATGCTAATGAGTCGTCTTCTGATAAAGAGGGATAAATAAACAGAGACGTTCACACAAACTAAAAGACAAATGAGGGAGAAATCATAAATATATGTACATAGTACTCCTGATTTAATGTAAATCCTCTGTTGTATAAACATATTCAACAGTCAGTACTCAGTATTGAGATCAGTACTAAAAATATTCATTCAAATTCCTAACCACTGCTGTTCTAATGACCTACATAACCACTGAGCGCACAGTAAAGATGTGAGCGTACAAGCAGTTTCATATGTGGTAGCTTCAGAGAAAGTGAACCCCAGTCGACTACATGTGTTAAAGTCTACCTGTACTGAGGGTTGTGGGCCCACACCCCTGTGCCCACAGCCGCCCCAAAGATGACGAGCAGCTTCCACAGCCATATCGGGGTGAACACGGCCCAGTAGCTCCACTGGATGACTCCATCCAGCCTCAGGGACAGCAACACGGAGAACAGCAGCAGACAGGAGTAAATCAGGAACTTACTGCAACAGGGGAACGACGGGGACGTTTTAAATTTGATTCCCACAGAGAAAAATGATTACCACTGTTCAGAGTGTTGACAGATACAGAGCATGGTGTGAAAAATGTCCTGACTTGTGTGCAGATTTGAAAAAGCAGTGTCAGAAGTGACGCTGGATTCACTTCACTGACTTCTCGGGCATTTATTCGGGATTTCATTCATTGAACCTGCCACATTTCTGCAGCATCTCATAACACTGAATCTGAATAACTGCACATTTGTACCCATCACTGTTGCACTTCTGCTCATTCAGTAGCTGAACACACATGTCACTATTCATACTCACACTTTAACACTCACATACAACAACAACGATAATAAGAACAGTGACATGACCGTTTGTGCAACCTGATTAAATCTGATGTCACCTTGTTGTAAATTATGGCAACGGACAAATGCTGCGAGTTACATGTTGTCAACACACTGAACATAACAACCAGCAGAATAAGTGAAAACGAAGCAGCTAACGAGTGCTAACGAGTGGCTAGTTTCAACTAGCACACCAGCAACGGTGTTGAAGCTAACGTGTTAGCCAGTTAGCCTGGTTCCGTCAAAACTATGAGTTGTTAACCTGGAGCAGCTGTTTCCATCTTATCTACGATGATGTGCACACTGTGACGTGGACACAGCACGCACGTGTTTTTTTATTTTTATTTTTATTTTTTAATCAACGCGGTATTTTCCAACAACAGGGCAACAAAACAAACGGTGCGATGCTACATAGCTAGTTAGCTCGCGTGCTAGGTCGCGGCTAACGTTACCTGGGATTGAAGTCCTGAAACAGCCCCCGTAGATTCATGGTGTCGCACGCGGCTGGTTAGTTCATTCACCGTCGGACCCGCGGGCTACACATCGTAACGTCGGCGGTGGCTCGGCCTCTTCTGCTCCGCTTCCATCACGGGCTCGGTGCTAGCTAACTGGCTAGCAGGCTAACTCCCGAGTGCTTTCGGTTTTTCTTCTTCGGAACTCAACGACTCCTCGCAAATCACGTGATCAGCCGAAAGAAGCCGAACACGCGTCATGTCCGAAAAAAAAAAAAATAAATCACTAATGAGTTTTA